ATGGGAAAGACCCAGTTGATCCTGAGAGAGCTGGACCCAGTGAGGTTCATCATGATGCTGATGAGCCATTTCCCAGCATTCATGACTACGATTTGAGCGAGGAGGATATCCTCAGTTTTATGGAGCAGGATGGTATTGAGCGGACTGAGGAGGCTCATTTTACTGGGGATGAGCAACCCCATGCTGATGCTGCTGACGAGGAGGAGGAGGAGGAGGAGCAGCAGGATCAGGGGAATGAGTATCCCCAGGCTGCACAGCGTCCTGCTCCGAGACGTCAGGCTGGTTATGAGGTGGAATTTGTCGGTAAGTATTTATTTTAACTTTTTAAAGTTTTGATCAGTATTTAATTTATATAGAAATTATATTAATTTATTGATATATAATTTATTTCTTAATTAAATTTTGTAGACACTGAGGGGAACAGGTCCTATCGGAGGCTGACAGCCAGAGAGCTGTCTATGATGACGGGCGGACGAGTGGTTGTGCCGCTCAATGAGTTGGGCCAACCGACGAAGAAAGGTGGCCAGTTGTACAACAAGTACGTGCGCCTCCTTGGTCAGCAGTGGACGCTGTTCCCCATCTACGTGCAGGACTGGAAGAAGATCACCTCAGACAAGAAGCAGCAAGGCTGGGAAATAATGAAGGTAATATAAAATTGTTATTTATAATTTTTTTTAATTTAAATAAATGATTATATATTTTGTTTTCAAATAATTTAATTGTTTGATTATAATTTTTTATTTATTTAATTTGTTTGTTATTTATAATATTTTTAAAAGTAGTTAAATGAATATATATTTTTAATTTAAATTATTTAAAAGTAGTTAAATGAAAATAATTTGTTATTGATTTCATTAATTTATTACTTATAATAATTTTAAATTTAGTTGAGTAAAAATATTTTTTTATTTAAATTACTTAATTGTTTAATTATTATTAAACTTTGATTAATTTATATTTTATTTATAATATTGTTAAATTAGTTAAAAACTAATTATTTGTTTTTAATTATTGAAATTGCTTAATTATTTGTTTATAATTTGTTATTTAGTTAATTTATTATTTTAATCATAGAGTAAATTTATTCTGGGGGAGGAGTTGAGGGCTGACACGATCAAGAGGCTGGGGATGGCATGGAAGAACAGGAGGGCCGACCTGTGGAGGGAGAAGAAAGGTGACGGGACGAGGCCCCTCCAGGAGATACTGGCAGATGTACCTGGTGGAGTCCCGGACCAAGACTGGTCTACTTACGTCTATTTTAGGATGACGGCTGACCAGATGGTATGATAATATTGTATTAATTATAATTTCTTTATTTTTTATCCGACTTGACTCATTTAATTTAATTTTTTTACATTTTGCTTCAGGCTATTTCTAGGAGAAATGCTAGGAGCGTCAGGCATCAGACGATACGTCATAGGGCTGGATCCAGGAGCTTTGCGATCACTTATGACGAGATTGTGAGTACTTGAAATAAATTTATTAAATATGTAGATGTATTTAATTTGTAACTAATTATTTCTTTGATTTCATTTACAGATAGAAAAGACGCAGCAGGAGCGGGGATACACGCCCACTTATGGCGAGATGTGGCCGATGGTGTATAGACCCCGAGACGGGCGTGCGTCGGATGAGGTTGAGGAGATAGCGGTAAGTAATAAATTAAATATTAATATAATATCACAGTGTAGATATCATTATATTATAATTAACTTCTTTATATTAATTTTGGTAGGCACGGATGACTCAGGTCGATTCCGAGTTGCGTGAGTCTCAGGGGTCTGCCTTGGATCCCACCGCCTCACTTTTAGCGGGTCTTGGCCGGCCGCAGCACCCTGGTCGAGTTAGCGGGCTTGGACTTGGACCTACACCGACTAGGCTGCCCCGCTCAAGTGGCGCTGGCCCTTCATATACTGCTGGGAGCTCTCATGCGAGTGCGAAGCGGCCGGGTTCCTCATCTTCAGAGGAATTGCGAGAGGAGCTCAGACAAGAGTTCGAGGCCAGGATCGTGGAGCGTGATCGTCAGTTCCAGGAGCGTGATCGTCAGCTCCAGACGCAGCTTGACCAGCTCTTGGCAGCTGCTACGGCTCTGCGTCATGTGGTGGTCAGTATAGCTCCAAACATCTCGGTTCCTGACATCCCCGACCTACACATGCCACCAGTCCCGCCCCTACCCCGCCATCCGCCAGTCCAGTCCCAGCAGGTTGAGCGGCCTGCCCACCGTCAGCCGGAGGATTCAGCAGAGGATGATCCCGATGATGCTGCTTCTGCCCCCCACCCATGATTTGCTTTCATTGTATCGGATTTTATTAGAATCTTAATTTTACGGTTTTATATATTATTTAGATATTTATCTAAATTTTATATTTATTTGTTTCCTTTATTGATTTATTTCTATAATTTTATTTATGTCAAGTACTAATTAATATTGAAATATTTATTTATTTATTACAACATCAACATTACAATTTATTAAACACGTTAAACATATTAATTACTCGAAATAATTCTATAATCATTTATTAATTTAATAAATATTTTTAAAACTGTAGAATTTTCTAGCGGTTCTGAAGATGATGAGCCATATATCCTTGCTTCTGAGGCACACCAAATTTACTATGTCGAGGACGAGAAACATAAAGACTGGAATATGGTCGTTCACCTCAAGCCACGGGATCTTTACGATATGGGTGATGGTGACATTATTTACGACAGTGAACCCTTCCAACCCTCGAATTTTGAAGACTTCTTTCCTCAAGGAGATGATAATTGCCACTTATCAGGTACACGTCTTTTCTTAAATTATTTAAATAATTAACTACTAATTACTAATTTTTTCCAAATACAACATAAATTTAACAAATTTTTTTAAAATATGTCCTTTCAGGCCGGATGATGATGGAGAGTAGCAGCATCCAAAATAAATTATTTAACAAATTTTTCGTCCATAAATACATATGTATAAATTAAAATTCGTAAAATTTTTTTAAAAATAAAAAAATTTTCATTTGTAGCGGTTATTAACCGCTACAAATTTTTCCACGAAATTGTAATTTGTAGCGGTTATTAACCGCTACAAATTACAATTTCGTGAAAATTGTAATTTGTAGCGGTTAATAACCGCTACAAATTACAATATCGTGAAAAAATTTGTAGCGGTTATGAACCGCTACAAAATACATACCTGTAAATTAAAATTCGTTCAGATTTTAAAATAAAAAATACTAACTTTCTAGCGGTTAATAACCGCTACATATGTAACCGCTACTAATTACTAGCGCTTTTATATACGCTAGAAAATGAATAACAGCTACAAAATGTTATAAAACGCTACAAAAACACCGCTACAAATGTGTCGCTGATCTCTATAAATATCATATCTTCTCTACATTCATTTACTCCATCTCTTTTCCTTCCTCTCCTATTCTTCTTCATAATTCTCTCTTTTTTTCTTACTATCTCATATTGTGATTTTTTTCTCTTTACTCTATGGTAAGTGAATTTTATTTTATAATTCATTGTATCTTTTATTTGTTTTTATTTAAAATTTACTAACATATTTATTTCTTCTTTCCTTTCAGATTTTTCTTCTCCACATTTGTCATGCCCTCCTCAACTGATTCAAATACTCATCAACTTAATACTATAGGTTCAATATTCCAAAATATATCATCTTCAATTCAACTATCTTATTAAATATTCAATTAAATTATCTTGTTAGATTAAATTCACTTCTTTTAACACATTCATAATTTAATTACATATTTTTTATTACAAAAGTTGAATATATAAAATGTAACATATAACTAATTATACAAATTAACAAAAATTCTTCAAAATAATTTATTTAATGGTTTTTAAAATTATAATATGAAAAACCATAAATTTTTTTTTCTGGCACGGTAAACATTTCTAGCGGTTCAGAACCGCTAGAAATATTTCGTCAAATTTAAATTTCGCGCCAAAATTTCTAGCGGTTAAGAACCGCTAGAAAATTTTCCCGCCATTCTAAAAATTCAATTGGTGTGAAAATTTAATTTCCCAAATATTTCTAGCGGTTCTATAACCGCTAGTAATTTTCGCGCGCTACTGAAATTATTTAATTCCCGCTAGTAATGTGTCTCCTTCAGATAATTTCTAGCGGTTCGTAACCGCTAGAAATGTTCTATCGTTTTGACCATGATGTGTAGCGGTTGAGATAACCGCTAGAAATTTTTTCTAACACCTGTTTTTCTAGCGGTTTCGTTAAGCGCTACAAATGTTATTTGTAGCGGTTAAAACCGCTAGAAATGTAACACCATAACCGCTAGAATTAACATATTTTTTTGTAGTGAGCAATTATAGCAGCAATACTTAGGAAATAGGAGCAAATCCAAAGGCAAACTTTTTTTTTTATAAAAAAATTCAGCTCAACTCAACAACAATCCCTCCCCCCATACTTGATCAATGCATTGTCCTCAATGTAAGAAAAACAACATTATCTTAACCTAAACTCTCTGGTGAAGTGGAAGTTGTGAAGTTTGATTTGAAATCGAAGCACAACACATCACTATCACAAAGAGGAGAGAAGGGAGAGATAGGATAAGATAATGTGAAATGAAAATGGACAAGTATAAATCAAGTGATCAAAAGAGATGGCAAAAGACAACAAAATAAACAACTACTAAACAAAAATAAACAGCTACAACTATAACTACTAGAGAAGTTCCCTCCCCCACACTTTAGCAAACAAATATCACCAGCAATATAATAGAAAGTAAAGGAGTAGAATGGAAGGGAACAACCGTGTGATCAAGGGGTCTCTGCTCCTCATGGTAGTGCTTTAGCAGATGGCCATTGACTTGTGAAGTTATACCGGTCTCCTCATCTACAAGCTCTACTGTGCCAAAGGGGTATACTTTAGTAACTCTAAACAGACCTTCCTACATGGTGACAAATTTCTCGGGCATCAGCTTCAACTGGGCTTTAAACTTTAGAACCTTGTCACCTTCATGAAATTGCTATCTCAGAATTTGTTTGTCATGAATCATTTTCAGCTTGTCTTTATAGATTCTGGCATTGTCATAGGATTCAAGTCTCATTTCTTCAAGTTCTTGGAGTTGCATCTTCTGATTGAAAAGTGAAGATTCGAGATCTGCATCAAATGCCTTGATTGCCAAATAAGATTTGTGCTCGATCTCCATAGGTAGATGGCAAGCCTTGCCATAGAGCAACCAAAAGAGAGACATGCCTATAGGGGTCTTATAGGCAGTCTTGTAAGCCCAAAGAGCTTCCTTAAGCCTTTCACTCCAACCCTTACAAGATGGTTTCATGATCTTCTCAAGTATTTGCTTCACTTCTCAGTTAGAGACTTCAGCTAACTCATTCGTTCCTAGGTGATAAGGGGTGGCAAGCTTGTGATTGACTCCGTGTTTACCCAATAGAGACTTGATGGTCCTGTTGCAGAAGTGTGTTCCTTGGTCACTAATGATTGCTCTTGGAATACCATACTTACAAAAGATATGAGAACGTAAAAACTTAGCAACTATAGAAGCATAATCTTTCCTAGTTGGCACTGCCTCTACCCATCAAGACACATACAAAAGAAGGAGGGAAGGGACCCATAAAATCCATGCCCTGCACATCAAAGATTTCACAAAAATGCAAAGATCATAGAGGCATCTCATGCTTCCTACCCAAACTCCTAAACCTCTGACACTTATCACAAGACTTGCAGAAAGAATAAACATTCTTAAATAGAGAAGGCCAGTAAAAACCACACTCTAAAACCCTCCTAGCAGTCCTATTAGCACTAAAATGCCCCCTGCAAGATAAAGAATGTGCAAAGGTAAGGATAGAGCGGATCTCATTGTTTGGAACATAGCATCTGATGATCTAGTCACTATACTGCTTCTACAGGATTAGAGCATCCCATATATAGTATCTTGCCTCCTTCTTCAGCTTATCAATATGAAATTTAGACATAGAAGGAGGCACAAGGTCAGTGACAAGATAATTAACTATGTTAAAGTACCAAAGCTCCTGAACAGCCAAGGCAAGAAGTACAGAATCAGGAAATGAGTCAATAACAATATCAGAAGAATCAACTCCCTGTGTGCCTTCAGGTAACTGATTAAGGTGGTCAGCTACATGATTCTTTACTCTGGCTCTATCTTTGATTTCGATATCAAACTCCTGTAGCAGTAAAGCCCATCTCAGCAGTCTAGGTTTAGACTAAGGCTTCTTAAATAGGTACTGAACCGTTGCATGGTCTGTAAAAACAACCACTTGAGAGTTTATCAGATACTATCTAAACTTATCCAAAGCAAAAATAATAGCAAACAGTTCCTTCTCTATAGTGGTATAATTGACTTGAGCAGAATCAAGCATCTTGGAGACATATGCTATAACACTAGATTGTTTCTCCTCCTTCTATCCAAGCATGGCACCTATTACAAATTAGAAGCATTACAAGACAACTCAAAATGTAAATTCCAGTTAGGTGTAATGAGAATAGGAGGTGAAACAAACATAGATTTCAAAGTGTCAAAAGCATGCCTACACTTGTTACCAAATTTAAATTCAACATCATTTTTTAACAAGATAGAAAAAGGATGGGCAACTTTACTAAAGTCCTTAACAAAGCACCGATAGAAACCTGTATGCCCTAAGAAAGACCTCAAGTCCTTTAAATAAGTAAGATAAGGAAGGGATGAAATAACTTCAATTTTGGCTCTATCAACCTTGATCCCCTTGTGGGAGATGAGGTAACCTAAAACTATCCCTCTATCAACTATGAAATGACACTTTTCAAAGTTTAAAACTAATTTCTTATTGATACACCTCTCAAGAGCTTGCTCTAAGCTATCCAAGCACTTATCAAAACTCTCGTCATAAACAGTGAAGTCATCCATAAAAACTTTTATGTTCTGCTCTAAAAGATCACTAAATATCGCCATCATGCACCTTTAAAAAGTGCCCGTAGTGTTACACAACCCAAATGGCATCCTTCGATAAGCAAAGGTACCAAAAGGGCATGTAAAAGTAGTCTTATCTTGATCTTCAGGAGCAATAGGCACTTGAAAATAGCCAGAAAAACCGTCTAGAAAACAATAGTGAGACTTCCCTAAAATTCTCTTCAATATCTGATCTATTCTTGTGGCATCATTCAACTTTCTATAATCTATACACACTTTCTAAGCATTTAGAACCCTAGTTAGAATAAGCTCGTCATTCTCATTTCTTACTACTATGATACTGCTCTTCTTTAGTATTACTTGTACCAGACTTACGCACTCACTATCTGATATGGGATAGATGATCTCAGTACTTAACAAGTTAGGAACTTCCTTCTTAACCACATCCAGGATAAGAGGATTAAATCTCCTTTATGGTTGTCTAACTGGCTTGGATGCTTCATTTAAAAGAATCCTGTGTATGCAAATTGAGGGATTAATCCCTTGTATGTCCTCCAAAGACCATCCTATACCCCCTTTATGACTCTTCAACACAGAAATCAGTTTCTCTTCTTCAGAACTACTTAAAGAACTGGAAATAATAACGGGCAATTTAGATTCAGTAGCAAGAAAGACATATTTCAAGTTAGGGAGAAGGAGTTTCAGTTCTAAATTGGGAGGTTACACAACAGAAGGAACTAATTCTTTTATGCCAAGTGCATTCAATACAAGTGGTATGTCCATGTGGCTGGGGGAAGGAGATAAAAGCTCATCATGATGTGTATGTCCTCTACTTCCTAACTCAGTGCCACTCTTAGATAACCTACAAAAAAGGATCGATATCAATCTTATCAACAGAAACATTAAGTAAATCACAAGGAAGAGTGGGATTAGAAGTGACTAAGTCAGTAGCAAGCTTATTGCTAGCCTCTTCTAATGTTCCAGCACTACTCAAAAGAGAAGCTACTGGTGTAGCTTGTGTAACAACTCCTTTATTATTAGTACCTGCAAAATCAACAAACTCATCTTTCTCAAGGCTATAAACAGGTGTAATGTTCAAAGCAGGATCACGATTAAGACAAGATGATGCATCAAAATTATGAGAGATGGAAAGGAGGTGATCAACTTCTAAACAGTTAACGCATACCACATCATTATAACATGAGCAAAAAGAAGAAGAATGAGAGGTAGATAAACTGGTAAACACACCATCATACTTAACAATCTCATCATACCAATCATGTTTATGCATCTAAGATTCGTGCAAATCATCAATATCAATAACATCACAATCAATCAAATTAACACCCAAGTAAGAGCAATTTGCATAACTTTGACTCATAGCATTAGAAATGTTAAAGGTAATCTGTTGGTCCCCAAAGCCTATGGTAATGACACCATCTTTTATACTCATCCAGTGCTTAATATAGGACCCAATTGTTGAGTTAGTTTTGGTCCTAAATATAAGTCCTATTTCTCATATTTATCAATTTTCTCTAAATTACCCTTATGGATACTCCCTCAACCATAATCAAGTAGAAGAGGAAGAGGGGCCATTAAGAAAGATGATTATGGTATTTTAGGAAAAACGTGTCACATTTCTTATAATTAACTAACTTACCTAAATTTCATAATCTAACCAAATTAGTTAAATGCGTCTTATATTAAGGACCAGAGAAGTATTAATTATGGTTTGGGCTGTTCTAAGAAAAGGTCTTCCTAGAATCACAATGCTATTGGCTTTAACATCATCAGTCATGTCTAGCACATAGAAGTCAACTGGGAACACAAGACCCTTCATTGGCATAAGAACGTCCTTAAGAAAGCCCTTAGGGTATCTTACAGTCCTATCAGCTAGATCTAGCACAACACTAGTGTCTTTTAAGGCACTAATACCCAAACTCTCATAGATAGAGGTAGGCATAACATTTGTGGCTGCACCTAAGTCTAGTAAGGCATGTGGAATGTTTGTTTTGACTTGAAGATAGTACTAATCTCACTATGCCTATACTTTCTCTTGTTTTTACATAGATCTTTCAAGAACTTAGCACACTTAAACATCTTCTTAATCAAATTAAATAATGGGACATTAACCTCAAGTTTACTAAACATTTCAAAAAGCTTATTATTATCTTTCTTTTCAACAACTTTCTTACTCATGAGATAGGAATGAGGAAAATGCAAGTCAGAAATGTTTACCTCATCACCTTTGGAAGGTGATCCTTTCTCTATTGGCCCTTGCTTAGCAGCTTTAGGCTCCCCTTTCTCTTGAGCCAATGATTGCTTAAGGGATTGCTCAAAAAGCCTATTTTCTTTGGCACTTTTAGATTGAATGGAGGTCTCTTGAGTAGCCTTAGGAATGTTTTGAGTGGTTTTAGAAGGAGGAGACTCAACTTTTATCTCTTCGTCAATCGGTTCTTTATCCTCATCATTATCTTTGAATCACACTTTCTTAGCTCCAATTTTCTTACCACTTCTTAATTTGATTGCATTCAAAGATTTAAGATTTCTGTGTTGGAAGGCATTGAACCACTAGTCTTAGTTTGCTGTTCACTCATACCATTTGACAACTTAGTGACGTAACAAGTTAAATAGAGGTTCTAGTTTCCCATTGCTTTATTCTATTCTCTAGGGCTGCAAATCTAGCTTCAAACTTAGCTTTAGACTTAGATATGTGCTCAGTCATTGCCTCAATACGTTTGAGTATTCGAGAGAACCGTTCATCATCCTTAGACTATGGTGCTGTGGGGTAGACATGGCTCTGGAGGATTCTCCTTGTGACCCTTCATAGTAAGATTGCTCTTAAGTAACCATATTCCCTTGAAACCCTTCTTGAACTTGCCTATTGTCACCTCCTCCCCATCAAAAATTTGGATTAGCTTTCCACCCTTCATTATATGTATTTGAGTATGGGTTTCATTGCTTAGATGGGCTGGCCCTTCCTTAATACATGGAGAAAACTTTCTCATATCTATGAGGGCAAGCAGTAGAGATGTGCATACCAAAACTACAATGCTCACAACTAGGTGCAGCCATCTCTATGGAATTAGGATTCTAATTGTCAATAGGGGGAGTGAGATGCAAGCTTATTCAACTATGTAGTCAAAGCAGTAATTTGAGAAGTAAATGTGTCCAATTGAGGAATATGGACTGAAGAAGGGTTAGTATGCATCGCATTAATACTTTTAGACCCTGATGCTATACTATTGATGGTTCAAGGCCATTTTCTTAATAAGTTCCCATGTCTCCTCAGTAGTTAAATCAATAAGAGAACCCCTAGAAACAACATCTAACATCCCCTTGTCTTAGGTCTTAAGTCCATCATGAAAGTATTGGACTAATTATTCATCTAGAATCTGATGGTGTGGACATCTAAAAAGCAAGTCTTGAAAATGGTTCCAATAGTCATAAAGTAACTCATCATAGTCTTACTTTATAGAGTAGATTTCTTTTCTCTATGTGGAAGTCCAGGAAGCGGGGAAATACTTCTCCAAGAATGTTTTTTTGAGGTTATTCCAGTTATGGTAGGCATCTGCCATATGCCTATGCAAGCTCATGTACCATTCTCGCACCTTGCCCTCTGATTAAACCCAATTCTTTATTGTCTTTTCATATCATTTTAAGGGTTTTTATCATAATTAGTAGCTCTTTTAGTGTTTATTGTGCTTAAATTATATTAAAGTGCCTTACCTTGAATTAGTGCATAATAGGGGCAAAATTGTCATAATTGGAGATTAATTATTATTAATTGATTTCTAGGATAATTGATGCTATATTATGTATGATTTTCCTTGTAGGTACTTTGGGAGAAATTTGGGTAAATTTGGAAATCACACTTTAGTCCCAACATTAAAGGTAGTAAAAGACCAGATTAATCGCAGAAAAGGGTCCCAGAATTCAAGAAATTACACCAGAGGCCTTGAGTAAATGAAGCTTTGTATTTTGGCTAAAAGGTACCATCCTCCGTGGCGGATGTACAAATCCGCCACGGCGGATTTGTCAGAATTGCAAAAGTCGCGATTTTAGCATTCTGATTCGGATCCCTAAGCTTCAACCCGACCCCAAACCACCTCTAGGAGCCAGTATAAGCTGAGTTTCAACCTAGGGAAACCTCATTCGGTCTCTCCTCACCTTTCTTTGGCTGAATCATCCTCTCATCTCATCCTTCCACCAATTCTTCATTACATTCCATCATCTTTCCCTTTAATCCATCCATAACCTCTTCTTCCATGGAGATTCTACTGTTGCTACTGGTTGGAGCAATGCTTGGAGTTATGGAGGGCTAGGGTTTCTTCAACTCTTGAAGATGGTTGATTGGCATGAGTTCCAAGAGCTTTAAAGGGGAGTTAGATTCATCCATAGTTCTAGTTGTTTATTTATGAATTTCTAGGTCTTAGGATTTGTAAATTAGGGCTGAACTGTTTTGATTATGGTTGTAATTAATTCTGGATGATTATTTTGTGTATTGGATTAGTTAATGTTGAATTTGAGCTTCAATATATGTGGTTACATATATGTTTCTATGAAACTCTTTTGATACTCTCTTTCTTGCATGGTATTGTTTGATTGTTGAGTTAATCTAGGCTTGCATTAAACCAAGTGCATTAATTAATCTTAATACACACACTAAGTGAGCTTAATAGGATCTTATGAGATGGGTGGCCATTGATTAAGATCCTAGACTTAAAGGGTTCTTTAAGGTTTTTCCTTTAGAAAACTTGGTGATTTTTACTCCCAAAATTATTTTGAACTATGATTGCCAAAGGTCCATTTTCAAGAGGTTTTATCAACCGTTTCAACACTTGTTTCCCATCCATTCCATCCTAATTTCCCAAAAATCCAAAAATATATTTACATTGCATTTTATCTTAATTAATAGTTTTAATGAAAACCCCCAATTTTACCCTAGTCAATTTGCATTTTCATGGCATTTAGTTAACTTAGGATCAATAGTTAAGGCTCCAACAAGTGAAACGACCCGAGGTTGTGCCTATAGTACAATCCTTGGTTTTAATTTTGAATTTGACCCTAAGGTGTAAGCAAGACAGGTCACATTTCACCCTCTAAAGATAAATGAAATACCTTCCAAAGAACCTTATCTAGACTGGCCCCAACCACCTTCATGCTAGAGCATACCATAGAGAGAGATTTCAGATAATTGTACGGGTCCTCACCTGTCAAACCATAGAATTTAGGCAAAGAATTAAGTATTGGACCTTTAATTTCAAAATTAACATCAACATTAGGGCATGCAACATTAAAAGTATCATAATTTGCATCTAAAGCAATGGCTTCCCTAATGATTCTTCTTCTAGGGTTACCTCCATTATTCTCACATACTCTATCATGTTCCCTATTATGTCCATTGCCCCTTCTGTTATTGCCACCATTGTGATTATTAATAGTTTTCACTACGTCACCTAAGTCAACCACCAAATCTAGACCAGCTGAATTGTCTAGTTCAACCTCAGGAACACTAGACGCACTATATTCACTAGAGGACAAGTTAGACTCATGTGAAAGATTTTCATCTTCAATTATAATCTCACTAGTCCTTTCTACTATTTGGTCTTGTCTAACTTCCCTTAAAGAACTTTGAAACTCAGGATTGGAAGGAGCTAGGGTTTTAGACCTACCCCTTCTTGCCACAAACAATCAACCAATCAAAAACAAGGTGCAAAATTGACTTGCACAACAAAATTCAAGCAAAAATAGATGAATGGAATGAGTACAAGTGTATATGTGTGAGAATGATATGTGTATGTATGGTATGGATGTCTATACACTCAATAGTATATGAAGGAATATGGGGATATGCACAAGTATGTTTAAAACCAATCAAGAAAAAAAATCCAAGAATCACCAAGAAAATGCAAGAGGTAAATGAAAAGGAAAATGAAACATGCAATGAATGAAATGACCTAAATACTTTTTTTTTTTAGTTTTCAATGCAATTATATGATGCCAAATGCTAAAACTATGCAATACTAACTAAAATGCAAATAAATGAAAAATCAAGATATTTAATTGTATTTTTGAAAAATTTTCTATGCAAATGAAAGAAATGCTATGAAAAACCAAAAACAAATGCAAACTATTTAAAAATGCAAAAACTAAAAAGCTCAAGGACCAAGTCAACCAAAATTTGACACTTAATTACTAGAAAACCAATTTCTTGGCTCCCCGGCAACGGCGCCACTTGAAGAACAAACTGTTAATCACTTTAGGTTCACTTTAAAAATTAACCGAATTAATACAATATAGTGCATGATCCAAGTCATATTCACTCTTGGGAGCCTCTAAAAAGAAATCCTAAGTAACTAAGTATGCAAAAGATAAAGAATTGACTTGGAAAGGGGTTGATTTTCTTTTTAACTAAATGGCAAAATTTAAAAGATGCAAAAAGAATAAGTAATTTGGATTTTTGGTTTATAAAATGGATATGGATGAAATAAACAAAGAGAATTAACAAGTGATAACAAATGGAAAAGTAATCCTCTAGTACAATGATTTAGGCTATCATTACTTCAATTAATATGGGAGTTAGTTAAATTCAATAGACTCCAAAGGCCACCCCTTGGACTCAATTTAATTGGAATAATCAACATGAAGCCACTTTGCATATTAATTACTCATAATTAAACTGTTTTAGCACAATTAGCCAAAGAGAATCAAAGAACAACAATTAACATTTTTTGTCCAATAACCAAGCCACCTTGAATTACTTCTGAATATTCACAATAATTTCAAAACATAGTCTAACCAAGTATAATGTAAAGAAATTAAAGTTAATCAGAGCATAATGTCAAATGCTAATTAAAGATTCAACAACTACAACCAATCTCAATACAAATATAAACCATCACAGCACATTCAAACATTGTAAAATTCATTGTAAGACCTAGAAATCATAATTACAATGAAAGAAGTAAAGATTGGAAGAGTTGAAACTCCCCCTTGAAGCTCCAAGTTCAGGCCATAAACACTGTACTAGAGAATTAAAGGATTTAGCTAAGCCTCTACATCACTAGAACTGCAACACCTAACTTTGTAGATACTAATAGGATCATTTTAACATCTGTGAATCACAAACACTAGGTTTCCTACCTGGAAAATGACAGGAATTTTTTTTCTTCTTTTTCCTTCAACATTAGAATCCGTCGATCAAACATTTGAAACCTTTAGAATAATCGAAGAGTGATCCACAATCAACCCTACTTTCAACTTTATCTATTATCACCTAAAATGATTTCATACTATAGAATCTCATAATATTACATTAAAAATACAACAACGTTCTTGGTTAACAGCAAATACTTGCACCCGGCAGTGCTCTCCTCCTTATAGAGGATACAAAATAATATTTCTATAAAGCAAGTAAAGTTACTTGCCCATATAACATATATAGTAAAATAAATATTAACTTATCAAGATATTTTGCTACATATTTACAGAATATAACGGCCATCTCTGCCCTTCAACCAGCCCACCTTCTTCTTATACAACTTCCTTTCCCTTGGAACTGCTTGCCCTGACTGTATAATATAGGAAGGGAGGGTGAGATTCGAACGAATCCCCATAGTAGTAATTTCCATCAAACAAATGTGCACATTACATAAAGCATGCAAAACAAGCCAAAGTGGAACATAACCTTGCAAGCTACTGCATTTAAGCATTTATGCGCAATGACAGATAGACAAGCTGATTAAATAATGCGCAAATACTTGGCAGATACTGCCCCATGTCTATCAGCTACACGTGATCACGGCTAAATAATCCATGCAAGGAAATAAGGATTACATATTCTCATGCTTTAAACAGCAATATGGCACAAATAGACATGCAGTAATCATACACAAGTGTAAGGTAGGAAAGAACTACTACCTGAACCTTCCACTTCAAAATCAAACCTTACTTGCTTCCTTTCTCTTAGCTTTTTCAGTGGGCTTTTGCAGATATCAAAACTATTATATTAGTAAGTGTCACACCCCAACTTTGGAGGTGACCGGCACAGAATATGAGAGACCTCACACTCTTAAGCCTAAATATATGGATTGTTTAACTAATATATATATTTTTAGGATAAACATAAATAAAGGCATCCATTAAACAAAACATTCATATACTTAATCAGGTTGTGATACAAAATATAAAACTATTTGTAGAAATTTTCAACAGAGCCTCCACTATAATCTAGACTTCCTGAAAATTCTACAATAGACTGCCAATTCAAACAATACTTGGGGCTCAGTTCCCCAGCACCAGTATATATATAACTACAATCCAAAATAACCCAAAAGATGAGGACCTAGACATAGATTACGTGGAGCATCAAATTCTAAAAGTAAAGACATAAATGTACTTTTGAGTTTACATTAGCTAACAGTTACTCAAAATAAAGTTTCAAGTTCTGGATCTTCAATGAGGCTCTTTACTGCTCAGCTGGGAGTACAGGGTCAGTGGTACTGTCTGAAGTCAACAAAAGAATCTACCGGTGAATAACATCCCATAGATAATATTTAAAAAGGTAATAACAAATGAATGCAATAAGACTAAATTTTTACTTGGAATGACTATGTGGTAAAGAATTAAAGTTTCTACAGTACACAATCTTAAATTGAAAGATAAATGTATACTCAGGCTCATTAAACAATTAAATCCAAATTTGTAATAAGACAGCTTGTTACACAAAAATATTATAAAATAACATTTCTTAAACACTAATACTTTTATAGGACTTCAACAGAACAGAATAGCAAGCGCAGCTTGAAGCCACGAATACAAGCGTGGACACATAGTCCACGAGGGTAAGTAACCAATCGAGCGCGGCCAATGCCACGAAACAAGCGCGGGAACAATGCCCACGAATATCCAGCGAGCTCGAAATTACCATGGCGCGCCAAGGACTAACAGTGCTGCTGTTAGTGACCAGTGTTCTGTATCCAGACCTCTAAAAAAAAGTGTACAAGCATGCATGGGATCGAGTTTATTACTAACAACCGAGGGATATATATTTATATATTTTATTTCCACGAAGGGAATCCTTTAAGGAATATTTTACAACAGATGATCCCAGCATGAAGATTTTCAAATAATATTTTCAAAACTCCTTTCCAAATTCCAAGTATAAATATTTATTAGAAACAAAAATGAAGATTAACAAATTGTAAGCAGAACTTTTAATCAACATATAACAAGATAAATATTCCTTCAAGTAATAAAACATTAAAACATTAAATAAGTGAGATTGGAAAAATAATAAGATTTAAGTTAAATCACCTTGACAGACCATTTAAAGAAGCTAAATGTTTTTTTTTTAAAATAAGAATTTATGACCATGGGACGCTATTCACTCACCTGTTATGCTCCCAAAATATAACTCATTCCAATTAGCACATCCTTGAGTTATGGTCACTCCTCAATCCCCTAGTGTCCCGAAACAAAACATTATTAATACCCCATTTATAACTTATATACATCTAAATCATTTATCAACAATCTCTTACAACTCTAACAAGCCCATCCATGTCAAAAATATTCAAAGATTAGCATAATAGTTGGCAAGCATAACATATAAATTATAATTCACTTGTTTCCCAATAACAACGTAAAACTCCAACCTTCAAGTTTTCTACCCACAAGAACAATCAACTCTTATTTCCTTCATGTATCTCCTGAAAGCCAAGTTTAATCATAATTAATCCAAAATAATATCTATCTTGCTCTTTTCCATCAAAATGTTATATAAACACCTATCAAGAAATTCTTTTGCTCATGTAGACATTTTTTCAAACACCCCACGGGCACTCAATATTGTTTTGTGAACAAGCATCCGCACCAACAACTTTTTCAGGTTTCCTTCTTAACTAAATTCATCTCATAGACCAAAATAAACAGCACCCAATAATTTCAAGCTTCAAATAATAGTTGCAAGCAATCACCATGCATCACCCGTAAAAAAAAAATATAATCCTTCCTCCTCAATATGCTTCGTTTAAGACAACCCCCATAATCCTTGAAATCTCAAAACTTCCAGCAACCAAACCAATTAATACCCAAGCCAAAAATCACAAGATCCAAGAAGATAACATCCTACCCGTGACCACCCACACCCAAAATTCTGCAGAAACGAATATGGAAAGAAAATTCGCATAGCCACCCAAAATCAACCAAAATCAGCCCCAAACGCACAACAAGAAAGGTAAAACTCACCTAAACTTACACCATACTCCTACATTGCAAGACAGACCAGAAAAAGGGGGGAAAGTGACTCCAAAAGAAAGAGAAACACCCCAAACTCTAGCAATGTTCTGCAGCGAAAACAGAGGAGAAATAATCTGCAAGAATGCACGCCGGAGACTGCAAAGTGAACGGTGGAGGACAGAGGGAGATGCGACCGTTGAAGAAGAAAAAGAAGGGTTAGGGATTCAGCTTTGAAAAACTTGTTCTACTCCTCCATTCTCTTGCTAAAATGAAGAGCATCGGGAGAGGAAGAAAAAAAAATCTGATACTTACTTTTTATTTTTACTCTAAGGGTATTTAAGTAATTCAATAGTGCTGAAACAAAAATTAAATTACTCCAAAGAGATGGCCTTAGTTCGAACCCAGAACCTCCAATGCCTTCAGCCACTTCCAGAGCCATTAAACCACATGATTTACTTGGTTGCAGCTACAACAGCAATAAAAAGAAACTATTAACCAATAATTTAGTATAATAAATTGCAAGATTGTTACAGTAAGGGTAGGTTAATGCTTGATCCAACATAATTTATAAATTAAATAACTCTCTTTAAATCCCAATCTCTTTCAATCTCTACCCTCACTTAATAGTTGGTCATCCTGGACAATTTTTCTTATTTAAACTATTCTCTTTGGAGGGTTTCCTTCCTTATCTCAACCCATGCAGTTACATCTTGGTCAAAAATACTATTTTTATTTATTATATTTGAAGGCAAATAATGAGTTCCCTATACTTAATCATTCTAATCTTATTGAAATTAAATCAATTAAAATTCAACTCTACTTCTTTTACCAGTTTGGCCAAGACACACACCCAAACTACATTTACTTACCTAAATTCCCATGCACCCATAAATATTTTCATAATTAACTAAACATCATTCTTAATCTCTTAGATCCCAACTTAGACTTCCTTAAACAAATATCTAACTTTAGGTTTATTTGGCGACCAAATAGTCATTAACTTTAATTCTCACTCAATCCTTCAATCTTTAAAACTTCCCATTATATCTATTCTATTACCACTAGTCTATTTCCTTACTTCTCCATATCTTAAATTCATGGAAATCACTTCACATTGTATTAATTCATTTCTAACTTCAAACATCTACCCATCTAATTCCTTCAAACTTTAACATTCCTCAAACAACCGTTCTTAAAACCTCTAACAATAGTAGTTTCGAAATACCTTTGAGCCATAATTTTGAAATAGTATATCAAACTAGCTTCAATTGGAATACCTAACTAACATTTTAAAACTTCGTGTTTGAATTTCCGTCAATCTCATCCTCAAAACTCAAAATCCCAAACTTCAAACATCTTGTTGATGTCTATTGGCCGAGGCAATATATATTTATATTCCTCCTCAATTACTTTTCCTTCCATTATAATCCCACGGCCCTTGTATATAAAATATAACCAGTGCAAATTCCTACGTAAGTCATATATTACTACATATACCGAAACTATATGCATATATATATATATATATATATATGTATATATATATCAGTTCGGTCTCCTCTCCAAAACGGTCATAATCTAACCAGCGACTATTTCCCTAGCTCCATGAATTCAAGTCTCACGACAGCAACAAACACAAACACACACACACACACACACAAGCTTCTGTTCTCCCCATTCAAACAGATCCAAAATCACTATCCTACATTTAACACAGCTAGCTAGTTATATACATATATATATATATATATATCAGAAGTCGGCCAACACGGAGAATATATATATATTACTCCAGCACGTTACCCTCCAAGTCAATAACACACATAAAATATATATATATTTTGCATCTTCCTCGGTCTCTTCCTCCAAACCGTAACCAACGTTAAACAAAAGATTTCGCCCCCGTTTATAAACAGCAGAACCAAACTCCCAAAGCTTATAACCCCTGTTTCGGCGACTAAAGAACAGAGGAAGTAACCGATGCATATATAGATATCTATTACTTCTTGTTAACTCCAAAAACTCACAGCACAAAGAATCAGAATAAAGAGTTTGGCTCCAAAGATCACCACTCCAGCTTCGTACAGCCATAGCCCAGAAACAAACATCGACATACAACAACGAAACTCAAGCTTGCAAAACTACACCCGAGTTCGGCCAAAACCAGAATAGAAACAACAGCAAGAAATCTCACATGCACGCCATAAGACACACTCCATAACCATCAACAAACACCGTTCTTTCATCATCATTGAGTTTCAGATTCAACCAAGATTTTCTCTCACTAAAACGTATCTCTCTCTCTCCTTGACAACACCAGAAACATGACCGAAACCAGAAAATGAAGACAGTGATGGACATGTGAAGCTCACCTTGACAGTTTAACCGGTTTGCAAGCAGGTGTAGCTCCTCCGATCACCACCTCCGTCGCCAACTTCTTCCTCTCGCTCTCCGTCCTCACTCTCGGTCTGTCTCTATTTGTCTCGTCTCTCTCTCTTTTCTTTGGACACCGACTGAGTGAAGTGCAACGCGTGGTGATCAGCTAATACACGGAGGAGTGAATCAGGTGGCAAACAAAGAAGGCAGCACGTGTACTACATGGTTGCTGAGTCATTTTGCCCTCCTAAATAATTATTCCTCCAATCTTATCCCTCTCCTATTTTTATGAAATATAAGATAAATCTGGAAATTAAACCAAAATATCATAAATGGATTTTTTTTATCCATTAGCTTCTTTGACCCATAAAATAATTTTCCTAAGAATTTCATATCAAAAGTCAACTCCTGACTATTTTTCTCTTAAAATTATCCATTAAAATTATTTAAGCCATTTTTGGGAAATACCTTTTCCAAAATGTCTCTAAACCTTAAAAATCATTATTCCATAATTTTTCCCACTTTATTTGGCAAATAAATAATTTTAATAAATTTTCTCTTTTCTGCTCATCTTAAGTCATAAAATTCGGGGTGTTACAGAAACTCCACCATATACTTCAATAATCACAGCCATAACAAAACAACAGTGAAGAAGCCAATGGAAAAATCAGAGAAGTGCCGAAGACGGTGATAATAGTGGACTTGAATGGGAGTGGGAGAGAACAATGATGATGCCGGATGGAATTGGGCTGGTGGAAGATGAAATCTGGAGGTATGGTTTCGTCATTCAAGCTCTCTATTCTCTAGTTCTATTCACGCTGTTGTAAGCACGCATACTCCTCTGGTCTCTGATTCTGTCACACCGAGAAAGGAATGGATTTTGGTCAATGGAAGAAGAGATGGATGGTTTCACCATCGACTCCTCTGGTCCTCACTCTCTTGCTCACGCCTCCTTCTCTATTCGCTTCCGCCATCACTAGTCCCTCTGCCCCCTTTTCTCATTGAAGACGATGATGATTATGTTTTAGGTCAGGGAGCAAAATGATTTTTTTTAATTATTTTTTTCTTTTCTTTTCTTCTTTTCTTTTTAATTCTTCAAAAAGAAACCTGCAATTAAAATTGAAAGATAGGTAGCATTAAGGGATAAAGGTCATTTTTGTCCTGGAAGTTTTCACAAAAGAACACTAATCATCGGGAAGTTTTTTTTAGAGCAATGTTGCCCTGGAAGTAGTAAAAACATAACAATGCAGCCCTTGCCCTAACAGACCAAACGGTCAACGTTTGTTGACCCAAGATGGCATGCCCATATGGCATCCACCTACCTTTTTTTTTTTTCAAGTCAAAAATTAAAAATAAAAATTATCATCTCACCTGGATCCCTCCACTCTCTCTCTCCCTCTGCCTTCTCGTCTCCTCTCTGATCATCTCCATCATCCTTATCTCCGGTGGGCCTTCTCCATCGAGGTGATCTTCGCTACCACTCTTAGTCGTTGTCGAGCCCCCACCGCCAGGATTCGAAGTTGCCACTCTTAGTCGGCATCGAACCCCTCCGTCATCGGGATTTGAAGCCACCACTCTCGGTCACCCTCGGACCCCCCTCCACCATTGGGATTCAAAACTGCTACTCTGAGCCACTGTGGACCCCCTGCCACTATCAGGATTTGAAGCCCATTGTCAGATCTCTACGAACCATTCTGCCTTAACTGTGTCAATATCCTCCATGGGTCTCACTTCCTCTGGAGATTTATTGCCCCAAATCCATCGATATTTGCCTCTCACTCCCTCTAGAGATTTCTTTCCTCAGATCTATTTATGTCCGCCTCTTACTCTCTCTACTTAGCAAGTTCAAAAATCAGGGGCTTTTTTTTTTTTCATATTCAGAACAAATGAAATTCAAGTAAGTGCTTCAAAACAAAACCTTGTAACTTCAAATTTGCTGAAAATCAAGTGTGTCGAAAAACATACTCTACATGTTAAAGATAGGAAATCATGATCCTCAATACCAAACCATTTTTGTGATAAAGCGTTGGTTGTAGTTGATAGTGATATGTGAGAAAGTTGAAGTTGCAGCAACTTGTGGTCAGTTCATCGAGCCGGCGAGGATTTCTTTTTCTTTTTTTTTTTTGGGTGATTTGGACTGATAATTTAGTTGGGTTCTGAATTTACTTCAAATATGATATTAGAAGTCTTTGGATTTAGACATTCCTATAAGAAGAAATTTTTGGGGGTTTATGTAATCAATTTTTCGAGTGATTTGGATTAATAAGTTGCAGCAAATTGTGATCATCTACAGCTTTATGCTATCACTATAGTTGCCTGTAATTTTGGCTTTGGGGATTTATTGTAATAAAAGGATTGTGGTGAGGGCTGGGTAGCCCAATCATATTCTCTCATGGTCAAAAACTATCAATGTTGATGCTCATTCTTTTATTTCCAGGGATTTTGATTTAGTTTGTGAAGATTTGGGCATTATGTAATTAATCTTCAATTGTGCATGAGAGGAAACACAGTAAGATTTGGTGAGGGACAGGGCTCGTATCCCATTTAATTTTTTAAAATTTTTTTGATGACATGGCATAAGATGTGGCATACTATCCTATGTGGCAAAGCCAACTTAGTATATTTGGATCAACTAACTGCTGATCGTTTGGTCTGTTAGGGCAAGGGCAACATTGCTATGTTTTTACTACTTTCAGGGC